AGAGGAGAGGAGAGGAGAGGAGAGAGAGAAATATTCCTAAAATCTCTATGCAATGCCTCAATGGGTATAAACACAGAGCATCCTGTGAAGAGAAATGACAGGAAATGAAGACGGCTATTTGTCACATTTTACGACAATAACATTAATAACAAACAATAAATTTACATGGACATATAAGGCGCGGTAGGTAGTGAGAAATCCCTTCTACTTACAGTACCCCAGCCCGCGGTGTGGCTCCAGCTGCGGGGCTGTTTTACTGATGCCTCCCTTCTTTTTTCTCTCTCTCTCTCCCTCTCTCTCTCTCTCTCTCTCTCTCTCTCTTTTTCTCAGGGTACAGGCTTGTTTTTCAAAGGACAGTTGAATTGGACGTCAGAAACAGGGAGACCGAGCCTGCGATTTTCCTGACGAATACATATCTATTCTGCAACCTCGGCATTAATTATTTAATGAATCACGTGACCGGGAGGGGGAAGGGGGTTTTTCGATTTCAGGCTCAAAGGACCACTATGACCTTCCCCTTCAGGAGGAGAAATTTTCCTGTAAAATAGGTTCCCCCCAACCCACCAATGGAATAGTAGCAAGGTCTCTCTTCCACAAGCACATCTACACATATTCTGCTTATAGTTCCCTACCCCCACAGGCACACACTTACCCACAGCCCACCTCTCCTCTCTCCCTTCTCTTCCTGCTTCTGCTTAGTTCCTAGAGGTGCAGAACAGTCTGCAGGGGCGTCAGGGTGGGGGTGGGGTGGGCATAGAGACCTTCTCCAAGCCCCTGAATTTTCTCAGCTTCCTATTTGTATCCTTTAGAACTGAAATTCCCCCTTCCAACCCCATTCTGTCCCCTACTCCTGGAGTATTTATTTGAGCGGGACTCACTCCGGTCTAACTCATCAACGGTGTATCAAGGGAACCCAACGGAACAGGACAACTCTGTGCAAGTCTTGCCACCTTATATGCAAGAGTAGGACTTCTTTGGGTTTAGATTCACCTTTGGATCTTTTGTAGTATACCTCTGAAAGGTCAGGAACACCCAAGGTGAGGGGATGATTCTGGAGCTCCGAGGATACAGGATAACCTGGAGGGGGACTTTGCATGGCAGCATTGTTACAAGTACCTTAGGGAACGAAATGCTGCTGATAATTTGATAATAGGCTACCGAGACAAAGATCTAGGGTCCAAGGATTCCATACAAAAGAAGTAGACACCCAGACTCTACCTCTGTCAATCCCATCTCAGTCTTTGAAATCCACCAATGAAGGTAACTGGGGAGCTGAAACAACAGCGAACAAAACTGGAAGAAAAGCTTCGAAGCCTGCCTGGCAGCCTAGGCTCTGTATTTCCTAGGTGTTAGTGTCCTGGACTTCCAATCAACAGACAATGGAGATTGATCAATGAGTAAAACACAGGGATGAAATACTTATAGTCTTAAACATTTGACTGGGAGATATCCATGGGGGAGGCACGTGTACGGACTCTTTCCCTACAAGAATAAACAAAACCAACAAACCCCAAACTTCACAAGTTATAAGTGAATCTGAGTCCTTAGTTGGGGGGGGGGGATGCAAAGGGAAATAGAAAGGCATTCCTAAGAAGCCCAGTGCTGCGCATTCTCAGCCTTATCTACTTCAGCAGCTCTGGGATAGCTGCGACCAGGAGGACAGGGCATCCGTGTAATGGGGAAGAATAAAGGCAAAAGGATAGGCGAGCCGGGGGATGGGGGGATGAGGGGCCTCCACTGGTTTGTTTAAAAGGGTCTGAACCAAAAGCGACTCAAAGAAGGTTGAGGACCTTTTCATGTAACACACCCCAAAGAAATAGTCTCCCCCACGTGTTCCACGGAGGTTTCAAGGCAGCAGGACCCCTGCGGAAAGTACTGGAATCCTGCCCCAGCCCCACGGGGAGGGGGCGCCGGCGGGACCCAGACTCTGTGGGGGGAGGGTAGTCGCCTTTGATTGTCCAGATACTGAACACAGACTGGTATTGAATTCAGCCTGGTGCTGATGTAGGCCTGCTCCCGTCTCCTGCGAGGGCAACAGTCTAAAAGGTCCCTAGCTACAAATCCATTAAAAAGAAAATGCTCTCTTTCCAAAGACAAAAGGGGAAGGGAGAGAGGGAGAGGGAGGGAAAGGGGAGACTATAAATGAATACATTGGAACATGAGTAAATGTCAATCTTTAAAACCTTAAAACAGAGAAATTATATTTAAGGACAAGAAAAAGGAGGGCCCTGCGACAGCGAGGAGAAGACAGCCAGGTTGTTAAAGTGCGCACACTCTTCGGATCCTGGGAAATGTCCACGTTCAAATAAACAAGCGCCCGAGCGAGCGCGAGCTGAGCGCTTTCTTGCTGCCGATAAAAGCGAACGTTTAGACTGAGAAAAAGCGAGATTGATTTACGAATCTGAAAGCGCCGGTTTTATGGCCGATCACAAATCCGTCAGCGCTCAACTCACGCTGGGAAACTTCCCAACTCCGTGTTCCAATCAAACCCGCTCGCAAACACCGCTTCCCAAGGAGACCCACCAGGCGTAGAGGCCGCCTCCAGGGCCCTAGTGGGACTCTGCAGCCTCCTGCCCTGGCTGGGAGGCAGGCCACAGAAGTCAGCGAGGGAGTGCAAAGGTCCCAGGGAACGGGGCGCGAGGGGGGGGGGTGAGGTCAAAAGATTGGAAGGCCTCACGCGGGGGGGGGGGGGGCACTAAAGCTGTGGAAAGTGACCCCAGCAACTGTCAGTTCCAAAACGGTTTAGATCTGGAAATGAGAGAAAGGGGAGTCTTATGCTGTGAACCTGGGGAATAAAAGCAGCTTTTGGTGAACCCCAGCCTTTCCCTCTTATTGTAGACCTTTTTGGTGTACCCCAGAATTCTCCATCTCGAGAGCAGTTTAAAGTGGCTCTACATCACTAGGTCTTTGTCACTTGTGCCTAGAGAGGGCCTACAATCAGCTTCCAAGCCCCAGATAGTTGCAATATCTAAGTGGCCCTCCCAGACTGCCTCTTTGCTCACCTCTTTCCTTCCTGAGGCCCCAATTTTCATGCTATTGAAGGACAAAGAAAAGGCCAAGCACTTCAGGTAGTTCTTGTCTAAGAGTCCCCAAATTACAGGAAAATATTTATACAATGTGAGCCAGAAACTCCTTACACATTTGCCAGCGAAGCCCAGTCTCTTCCTTTCTTAAGGAGAGCTGTTCCTCTTCCGAATTAGAAACACCTCTCCCTCCCCCGCTCCATCCCTCCTTTCTTCCTCCCTTTTGATGGGTGCTGCCGAGTGGGTCGTGAATGTGGAAGATGAAGCAGTGATTAGAGAGGGGTCTGGGATCTAACTTCCCCCCTTAGCAAATCTTCCATCTGTCTCTTAACTTGAAAAGTTTCTGCAAACTTTGGTTAGCACAGCGAAATGGGTCCTGGAAGCGGTCAACCTGCAACAGCCCTCCTTCCATTTCTTTCTCCTCCAGTTGCTAAGGGTTGCTAAGGTATCCAAGAACTTAGAAATGGAAGTTTGGAGCACAGGAGATAAAGGTGATTATAAAACAAAGGAACTTCAGTAAATGGGTTGAGACTGTAGATTTTGAGAGAGAGAGAGAGAGAGAGAGAGAGAGAGAGAGAGAGAGAGAGAGTGTTAGTTCACGGCCTGGGAAGTAAGGCCCCTGGAGAGGATATTCCTCTCTCCCCAGCTCAGGAGAGCTTATGGTCTACAGTCCCACAGACAAAGTCTGTCTAACCTCGGCTATTCTTTAGTAACTCTTCCTTCAGGTTGCTTTAGGCAAAGCTAAAAAGGAGAAGTGCCAGTGGCCGAGGGGCAGGAGAGGAGGCTGAAGCCTAACCTAGGGAAGGGCTTCAGAGCACCCTACACCCTACTTGTCTCTCATAGGACTTCTGGGCTAACTTAAAAACAAAACAAAACAAAACAAAAAACAAACCAGCAACAGAAAGACACACTTTCCTTCCCAATCCACAACAACAGAAAAATGATCCAGAAATTCTGAGATTTAGGCACAATTAGGGGGGTGGAGAAACTGGAACCCCTCCCTGAAGAGGTGTGACTTTCCCTGTGGGGCAGGAAGCAAGAGCTAGCACAATGTCCAGTCTCAGAGAGGTCAAGGGGCTTCCGAGGTCATTTTGTGGTTCTAATACCAAGCTAATCGCCTAGAAAACGTGGCCTCTCCATGAACTCTCTATCCTGCCAACCTCCCGCCTCCAAACGCCAAGTGAGGCCTCAGGGAAAAGGGGCCAGCACATTCAGGTCTGAGGCCAGTCCACTGATGCCTCAGCCTGAGAAGTAAGGCCCCAGGAGAAAGAACAGAGCCCCCAAACCCAGAAGCGAAAAGAAAGGGAACTGAACACTAAGGCTCCAGGAGGCCTGGAGTTGGGGGGGGGGGAGGTTGGGGGAAGGACAAAAGAGAATTTCTCTGTCAGAGCACCTGGCCCTGAGCAGCTTCTCCTTTTCAGAGAGTAGAAGATTTGTCTAGAATCCCAAGCTAGACACCATAAGAAAATCCAACTGCATCCACTTCTACCAGCTCCAAGGCTGGATTCTATTTTTCCAGGAGGCTGCTGAAACGACATGTCACTGGTAAACAGTATAGACAATCAGAGTCCCAGGAATACACTGAGTGTATTCTAGACACAGGCTGGCACACGCACATACAGGTTCTCCCCCAAGCTCGCCTGCATTTTTCAAAAACCAGAAAGCACTTCTGAAAAGTCTCTCCAACAGCTTTCTTCCCTGGTGTTTTTCAGGGCCCTGACACCTCTGTCCCGACCAGTTCAAACACTCTCCAGGTGTCCAGGCCTCTCTCCTTCTCCGTTTCTGTCTCCCTAGCTCTTCCAAACATCAGTCATCATAAACTCCAGCAAATCTGCCCAAGCGGCCACCATAAAAACCCCACAAAGATAGTCGAAAAAGAAAAAGGACGAGTTGAGATTTTTTTCCTTTTACTTGTAAAAGACAGCCCATAAAATGATTTGAAAGAAAAATAAGTCACCCAAGCCAGGGCTTTGTTACCTTCTGTACCTCTTGCCTGCTCTTGCCTGAGCGCCAGAGCTCCGCTGCTCCCATTCATGACGAAAGACTTCTTCCAAACTGAGAGAAAAAAGTTTTCAACTTTATGGTTCCAAAATTTTTCCCCCTTGCAGATCTGCGAGAGGCGGCTAAGACTTTTTTCCCTCAACAGCCGGTCTGCGGAGATTTGCTGTTGAATAATAACAAAGGAGAGAGGATACGTATTTAAAGAAAAGAAGTGATTAATGGTTGTCTGTATAATTCTCACATTTTTCTTAGCTCTTGTCTGCACAGAATGGCTGTGAACTTTAAGCGCCATAGAAATCTTCGTCGTCGTCTTCTTCTTTTCTTTCTTTCTTTCTTTTTTTCTTTTAAGATTCTATTCATACCTTCTAAGGAGCAGCTTTGATTTGATTCTTTAGAGACATTCCTGGGGGGAGACCTTATGGTTTTTAAGAACTGTTTTCCCCCCCTCAACTAAGGGCTGTCTTATTGCCTCAAAACTAAAACATCACACCACACACCGGAACAAGGCTAAGCTACTTATCCTCCTCCAGGTCTACAGACAACCCTCCCTCCCTTCCTTCCTCCTTCCTTCCTCCTTCCTTTCTTTCTTAATTTCTTTTTTTAAAAAACTAATCTCTTGGTTGCATTTTAATGGGCAATTCTACTGCCCTGGGGACACTGGCCCAATGGGTTCTCTGGCCTTCCTCAGACTCCCGCTACCTTTACAGGCTAAACAAAGAAATGCAAAATAAACAACAGTCAAACATGAGAATGGTATTGGCTCTTTATTTTCTGGAAAGAAATGGGACCAAAGGGTAAAAAAAGGCCAAAAACAAAAACCAAAACGACTTTTAATATATTCTCTGTGGAGCCTGGAACTTCTTAGCGAAGAATGTGGCTGCACCCTAGGCCTTTACTGGACCACGGACCCCAAGGCTAGAGTTCCAGACCTTCGTTCGAACTTCTTGCCTATACTGCACGGAAGTGACCCAAATCTGACAGAGGTTTGTGAGAATCACCTGGACCCCTTCCCCTCCCCCACTCCATTCTAGAGGTAATTGGGATCTCAGATACAGACAGCTATTTGGTCCCCAGCCTTACTTTCGATACTTTCTATGAGAAAGAAAATGAAAATTAATACAGGAGCAGGGCTTCACAAAAGAGGCCATTTGTCTTCTTGATTATCTATTTGCTTGTCAGAGTTTGAGCTATGGCACCGGCTAGTTCCTTTGTAATATAAAAATACTCTGAAAACCTGCAAACACCCAGAAACATCTGTGCAAAAAATTAGACTCATTAAAGTCTTAAACACCTCAGAGGAAAGCGGTACCTTCTTATGCGGGAAGGAAAGAGGCCGGCCTCGTGGAGTTCTCCCTCGAACTTTAATAACCAAAGAGCTGTCTGTCTAGAAGGAGACAGCTTAACTGCATTTTATTTGCTTATGACAAATAAATCACGGTATGAAAGACTTTGTTCTCCTTAAGCCTCTGGTGTCTTACAATGAAACACACACTCCCATTGGGGGCTGGGATCAGCCCTCCCAGTCCTTGCGATCCATTTTTGGACTGGAGGGGAAACAATTTTTTTTAAGCCTCAAACAAAATCTATCCACTCCAAAGGGAAAACAAACCAGTTACCAAGATTTGGAAGCCTCTGAGGTAGAAATTCCCACTGGAGCCTCCAAAGCAAAAACAAAAACAAAAAAACCCCACTTCATTGTGAGGCCAAATCCACGAGGGAGGGTGCTTAGCGTATACACAGGGCGACACTTGTTCCTATCTTTAACGTCAACATTCCAACAAAAACACGATGTGACGGTCACAAGAAACCAAACATTTATTTCTGATGTCACTCTGTACAGGACACAAAATTTCACACCAAGGGAAGGTTCTAGTAGGCTCAGGCAGCCCCGGAGGTAGGAAGGGGCCTGGTTTGGAATGTCGGGAAGAGAACAAGGGAGAAGACATACATGACATAAAATAATAATAATATTAGCATTAATAATAATAATAATAATAATAAACGATGCAACAGTGATAACAACGGGAGAAGGCTCTGCAACATTGTCCTTCCAGAGTAGGAGGGCCACAGCATTTTATTTCCTAATTTCACATTCATTTGTGGTCTAAGAAAAGGCCTCTGCTGAAGAACTGTGGATTGACCAGGAGACATTCCCAGCTCCCAGAACTCAGCTGCCCTTCACCCTGCCAGGCCTGAACAGGACCTTCTAGTAGAAGGCCCTCCTGGGTGTCTCAATCTCTCTCTCTCTCTATATATATATATATATATATTTCTTGGGTTCAGATTCTGGAACCCAAGTTGTGAAGACCGCCCCTCGCTTCCCTTCTGTTCCCCCTTCTAAACCTATGGTGGAAGGGGGTGAGCAGTCGTCCCCCGCCCACCCACCCAAGGTGGGCACCGACAGGGAGAGAAGTTGTGTGTGTGTTTGTTACCGTGGCCAAAACACTGTGCTATCTGGCAGTCAGAGGGTGCATTCGCTGCGTGTCAGGAGTAAGGGACAAAGAAAGACAATCCAGGCTGCGGTCCAGCAGCGGCAGCAGCAGAGGCGGCAGCAGTGGCCGAGCCGGGCCTCATTTGTTAGCGAGTGTCGAGGTAATGGTCGCCACCGAGGCTCGTCCTCTCCTCGGCAGAGTAAACAAGACAGATGGGCCCAGGCCTGGCGTGATTAAAGATGAAACGTGGATCCATCTTCACCAAAGCTGAAAACCAGGCGCAGCAGCCTCCTCCATTTCTCTTTCTGTCTTTTCCTTTCTTCCTTCTTCTTTTCTTTCTTTCTTTTTTTTTTTTTTTTAAGGAAGAAAGCAAGAGACTTGAATCTTGCTTCCGGAGGTCTTCACCCGGCTCCCTATTGTCGTTTCTATAAATAAGGCTTCCCTACCCCCCCCTTCTCGGTATTTTATTCCTTATAGATAAAGTGGGAGTAGAGTAGATAGGGGTTTTTTTTGTGGGCGAAGCCTGGGGACCCTCCCATAACCCCGAATCCCCCTTCGGTGCTCAAGCCCACCCCCGCCCCCCAGGTTCGAGCTCCTGCTTGGGGGGACACTAGAGCGCGGGAGGGCCTCCATTGGGCCGGCCAGGGGGTCCTCCGGCTGTGCCCGAGGTGCCACCCGAGCGGATCTTGGTGTTGGGCAACTTATGGTCTTTTTTCCACTTCATGCGCCGATTCTGGAACCAGATCTTGATCTGGCGCTCCGACAGGCAAAGCGCGTGGGCGATCTCCACCCTCCGGCGCCGCGTCAGGTAGCGATTGTAGTGAAATTCCTTCTCCAGTTCGAGGACTTGCTGGCGAGTGTAGGCGGTCCGAGAGCGCTTGGGCTCCCCGCCGGAGTAATTGGGGTTTACTGGACACACACAGAGAGGGAGAAAGAGAAAGTTTTATTACCCCCGAAAGGGAGGAGGGAAAGCCCTTTCTTTCTTCCAGCTAACTTCAAGCCTCCAGGTCCTACCACCTCATCTTGAAGGGAGGGGGTCGGAAAAGGAAGACAGAAGTCGGGACACACGGAAAAGAAAAACCTCAAACTTTTGAAAGGCTAAGCTGTCGTCCTTGTTGCCTGGGGGAGGGGACACTGTGAGGAATCTTGGAAAGATTTCATCTCTCACTATTTGGCCTGAGGACCCCGGGTGGGAGAATGAAGGGTGGAAGAGGGAGGGGTGTTGCCCTAGACCTTCCCTGGGTTTAGACCCCACCCTCACTGCTCAGATTCCAAACAGTGCCTTCTCCCCAGTAAAAACTTTTGCCCACTTCTCCAGCCAAGGAACCAGCCTGGAAGAAAGGGAAAAAAGAAATACTGGAAGTTGATTCAACTCTCTGCTTAAGTACGGATTACTACCTCCTCCTCCTCCTTTCTCCTCCCCTCCTCCCACACCCCTCCCCAACTTCCACCTTCACTGGGACTGCACATCCCTGGCGGAAAAAGTCGCTGGGAGAATGGAAAAAGAGGATGACTTCAAAGGCGCAGGGCCCACCAGGCCATAAAAATTTATGGGCGATGTAATTATGTGGCTCTGAAAACAGGAGACCGTAAATCTCTGGCAATGGCGAGTTTATAGCGGGGGACAATTGGCTTCCCCCAGCTCCCTCCCCCACATGCCTCGGAGGTCCCTTCGCTGTAAAGCGCCGGGGGTGGGAGGGGAAGGGATGCCCACGCACTCACCGGTGCTCACGTGAACTTTGCGCATCCAGGGGTAGACGACGGGTTCTTTGCACGCGGAGTGGGACGGGCTGGGATGCAGGGGGTTCTGGGCGCAGGGAGGCGGCGGGGGGCTGCTGCTGACCGCCTCGCAGCGCTGCCCGGGCTCCGGGAGGAGGGCCCCGGCTGGTGGCTGCACGGGAGCCCGAGGGGACAGCCCGGGTGGTGGCGGGGGCGGCGGGGGCGGCGGAGGCGGCGGGGGCCCGGGGTCTCGGCAGGCCGCGTAGCGCTGCACGGTGCAGGGTGCACGGCGCCCGAAGGCCGCCTCGGGCTGGAAGCCGCTCTCTCGCCTCTGGCCGCCGGCGTAGTACCCCGGCGAGTGGTCGCTGGGTAGGTAATCGCTCTGTGAATACTCCTCGCACGGAGGAAACTTGGGGTCGACATAGTTTGAGTTGATCAAAAAGGAACTCATAGCCATTAATTTCTGGGAATTGCCCACAAAATATACTAAAATTTATTCCGACCCCTGACTCGTTTTCCTGTTTCCGAAAGCCCTCCTACTTACTGTCAAGTGAACAAAGTTAGGGGCCCACGTGATCCTCCGAGCCAATGGCCACCCGGCCTGCGATTCCCGGATAAGGAAATCTGCTCACCCGGACCCTACTCCAGCCAAAGAGGTTTATTTCCCCTTCTCTCCCCCTCCCCACCCACCCAACACCAGGATTTACATAGGCTCCTGCGGGGCGACCCCCTCCTCGCCTGGCTTTCTCCGCAGCGGAGAGCAGCGAAGAGCTAGGAAGGAGTGAGCAGGTTAAGACTGGAGAGCTTGTTTTTGGGGGGCTGGGAAAAGCACAATCTCTGCATTCCCTTAGAAGTTGGGGCTCCGGGTGTATCCCCCTGCCCTACCTCACCTCTGCCACCCGTTCTCTTCCTTCCATAGGGCCCCATCTTCTCCCCAGGGTGAGTGGGAGCTCACGCACCGGGTGTCTGTGTGAGGTTAAGTGACTGGCGGGCCAGGGGGCTCCTTCTTGAAAGGGGCACCCACTAGGTTTGAGGGGCGCTAAGCTTGGGGCTTCTCCCTGCAGCCAGTTGGGGAGGGGTAGGAGGTGAGTGAGGTGGCGTCGGAGCTAGAGGGCGGGTGCGCGGAGGGACTTGTCAGAGATGAATGGAACCGCGGGCGGATCGATAGGAAATTCACGCACTAATTCGGGGAGACTTCGCCTTCCAAATCGCATTTAGCTGCACTATTAGCTTCTCTGTGTCTGTCAGTCTGTCCTCTCCTCCTAACCACTCCCTCCCTTTGACCCACAAGGCCCAAACTCAGAGAAACGACTTGACTTCCCGCACTAAAGATAGAAGCTGGATTAAAACAAAACCTGCAAGTTTCGAAAACAAATGGAGCAGTAATTTGCTAATTCCAGATTCATCGAAGCAATGCTAACCGTGGCGTCAAGAGTTCTTATTGCCGCTAAAGCTGCCACCTCTGCCTGTGTGATCAAGAGAAATTTCACATCCTTATGATCTAAGGAAAGGAGTCCTAGCTGTGACACCCCCACCAAGGAAGGACACACGCACTAGAACACCCATGGCAACCTCATATTTTTCAGGGCGCCATGTCATGAACCTAATGAAATAGCGACCTCCGCATCCGTTTGAAAAGCAAATTTCCTTTGCCTTTGCACACTGCTTCCACACGAATTCCAATAAAGCACCCTAGACCCATAACAGAAAAGAACTAGGTTTGGACTTAAGGATAAATTTTAAAAAGCCAGCAACATTAACAACCTCTTAAGTGAACAAGGACCCAGGCAGGCAAGGGTGATGCCTCAGGTAGAAGAGATTTCTCCTAACTAGTTGAGAGTGGAAAAGAAAGAAAAGGAAGAAGTCTTCTTGAAGCCAGTCACTGGATTGTCCTCATTTAGAAAGTAATCTATTTTTCTTCTGGAAAAAAAATGAACGGAGTGTTTATGTCAACTACATATTCCCCTAGATACGAATTTGTGACCACAAAATTCCTTACACAAATTCGGATCTACAGGGTATATACAGAAGACAGACAGGTCTTCTCGGCCCAGGAAATTTCCAGTTCTCTTACTTTCGGTGCGTTCTTCTTTGGGGGTGTAGTTTGAATGCTTTCACTTTATTTCGTTTTGTTTTTAATTTTGAGTTCTGGGAGCAGAAAAAGACACTGTGGGTCCATTCTTAGGATTACAATATTTTCAACTCTGCTAGAAAAAGAATCAAAAATAAAAGCAGCCGTTAGGCAAAGGGACTCAAACCTCGTGGCTGCCGCGCGACTTTCGGTGGCGCATGAATTATGAGATGTAAACATTAGCTAAGTACAAAAGGAGGAAGGGTCATCCTGAGGCTGCCTCGAAGTCAGAATCAGGCCTTTCTGGGTGCCCTCAGTCCCTCCCCTCCCCCTATGACTTTTTTTTTTTATAAAGAAAAAAACAAAACCTCAAATCGGCTCCTCCCTTGCCCCAAGTCTTTACTTTGTGATCAAACGCATATCTAGATATTTTCCAAAGCAAAGGGAGGGGAGAAAGGCGACTGGGTGTGAAGAGGGCGTAATAAAAGTCCTTTTGGAAAAACTGAATGGTAAAAAGAGGGAGAAACAGCTGTGAAGAAAAATGCTGGGAGACCAAGCAGATGGGGACTCCCGGATATTTAATGACGGGCAATTCCGTTTACAACCTGAGAAAAAGATCAAAGGCGCTTCATTTCCGAAAGAAGAGCAATGAGGAACCATAAAAGTTGCAGCCAGATGATGGCAGACCCCTCCCAGCCTCCCATATCCCTCCTACCTCCTGGGGACTGGGATGAAGGGACAGTTCTGTAAAGGTGTGGGGAGGACCTCCTTTATGCACTTCTTAGCCCCAGGCAGAGATTCTCTGTCTAGAGGCACACTAACTGGGCCCATCCACCTGCTTGGGTTGCTGGCAATGGGGCCAAAATGGGATTCTGGCGTTTGAGAATGAACATCCCAGTAACTGTTGGTTTACTAAACTGGAAAAATGAGAAATTGAGCTAGAAGGGACTGAAGCTTAAACCCTGAGAGCTGTGACCAGGTGAGGGCCACTGCGCAGGGAGAAACTTCCTCACCACCCAGCTTCCTAGGTTAAGCAATACACTTTCGTCCTTATTGAGTGGATTAGAACACTGTCAATTTCACGAATGCACACAGATCAGCCAAAACAACTGTCTAACTCACCCACACAGAAACCAGGAACTGGGTAGGAGAGATCCCACCTGCAGGCAAATGGGTCCAGAGACCTCTGTTTCTGTTATTTGTTTTGTTTTTAACCTACTACATCTAGGCATTGCAATAGTGGCCTCTGGGTTTGGCTTCTAACCCAAATACCCTCCTAGCTAGCTAGACCAGACTCATATATAACTAGAGAGAAAAAATATATTGTAGAGACAGGGTTTCATTTGGTCATCCATAGACAAAGTGTATTGCTTTGATTCCCCCACCAGCTCCCTAGCATCAAGCAAGAACCAAGTCTTCTCAAAGGGCATTTAGGGGTTCTACCACCCACTCCAACTGCCCAGGCCCTTCCCCTACCCTCGTACCTCCCTCTCTTTTATATTGATCTAATCCATCTGCAACTTGGGAGAGCATCGAGGCTGGTTTCTTCCTGATCCACACCTAACAAGAGATGTGGCCCAGGTGTCCTGAGCACCAAGAGTGAGAGGAATGGGGGTAAAGAGACTCCCTGGTCAGTGAAATTTTCGCTTCTGAGAACTAGAGAGCCACCACCTGCCCTCCTACCAATCCCCCCCCCTCCACACTCCATCTCTGTGTAGACGCTAGGGGCTAAAGACAGGATTTATCAGCAACCCCCAGGACAGATTTCACTACAGCTTGAGCCAGCCTCACCTCTCTATGCCCGGAATACCAACAACAATAAGCCTAACAATAAAAATACACAGAGCCAGGGGCGTGTGCACCTTCTGTACCACCTCTCTAGAGTTTCCAGGTTCTTTGAAGACCACTTGACTGCCTTCCCCTGGCAGCCACAGGTTGCTACTGTGACCTCTCGCTGCCCAGCCCACCCCGCCTCCGCCATCACAGGCATGCCCCGGCCCAGCAAAAAAGCATCCACCTTTTATGGGCGAGTTGGAAGTGAAGCAGAGAGGAAAGAAACCCCAGCAGAGGGCCAAGATGACGCTAGTCCCCAGCGGGCCCGAGCACCCCAAGCGCACTGAACGGAGCAAGGGACTGAGCCGGCAAGAGTACTCACCCAGCCGCTCGCCGCCTACTCCTGGCCGACCCGCCGTGGGCCCGCTGAGCAACAGCTGAGCTCGCTCCTGTCCACTATTGTGTGTCCGGAAAACCGAACCGCGGCTGCGGGCCAAGGAACCACAGGCCCCCTCTGAGGCCGGAAAAAGATGATTTTTTTTTTTGGTGTGTTTTTGTTTTTGAAGCGCAAGTTTTCGTATTAATCTCATACTTTGGCAGTCTTTGTTAAACGGTTAGGCGCATCACGAGGCTCTCGAACATTTTAATAATTTTTAGACGCCGTGACCTGCGGTTCACCCCTCTCCGGGCCTCCCCCCACGAGCAGGCAGTTACTATAATATGCTCACGCAGTTCGCTCGGTCATATTGAATTTTGCGAAGGTCATTACTTGGGAGAAAAATGACAGAGCAGGAATTTGATTCAGCTTGCCCTCTCCAGCTGTACTTTTCTCTCCCCCCTCAACCCCACCCCAAAAAAAGTCTCCATTGGAATACAATTCAGGCGGCCCCGCCCCCGCTTTGATTTTTCAATCATTCCTATATTTTTGTCAACTCCGGCTCCCAGGGCTAAGAGCAAAAGCCTGTGGTCCCGTGGAGGGAATCCTTCTGAGGCCTGAGCAACTAATTATGCTGGCACTGGCACCTGAAGGGCAGGAAGTATGTCATTGGGCATCTGAACCCTAGAAAACCAGCCTGACACAAGGGTTTCCTTCCTTGGGCTCTTTTCCTAAATGCCTGCACCCTCAGGGCCTGGGTCGACCGAGACCCTGCTACCCTCTTCAACCATTTTACTTGTGGCCCCAAATGCCAGATACATGGCCATTTCTGCCGAAACTTTAGAGGCCCCAGAATTCCAGAAATGACTTTTCTACCTCTCTGGAATAGAGTTTGATCCACAGCAGATCCCATCGAGGAAGAGAAAACTCAGAGAAGGACCAGGCTGCACTGGTCAAAAGCAGGGAACTTGAGGACCTGGTTTTCAGAGGTTTTAATGGTCCCTGAAAACAAAACACCCCCCCTCCATTTTTTTTTAAGAATATAGTTCTCATTCATTCAGCAGCTCTTGGCCCTTCCTCCATCACCATCAGAAAAACCTGGGTTTTAAAATCTGGTGGAATGTCTACAATGTGTCCTTCCTCTTCTCTGCCCCCCCCCAGTAGACTGGCTGATGTAGTCTAGACAACCCCCCTTCCACACAGTTAAGTTAGGCCAAACCTAGTGTGAGCGGGGCAGAGTGGTATCCTCTAGAAAGGATAGGTTAGGGCAAGGCAGCCAGTTTGGTCTGGGATAGCAGAAGTCACTTTTCCCTTCCTGCAGTCTTTTTAGCCTGGGACCTCGGACCACTCCAGTCTATTCCAGAGTTCTAAATTTGTCAACATTTTCTTCTGAGACGTAGGCAAATGAGACT